CAGGAGGGGCCTCGCAGCCCCAGGGTGCTTGCTGCAGGCCCCCCTCACAGCACATCGTCGGGGTCCAGGTGGCCTGGATGGCCCCTTCTGTACAAGTAAGAGCAGAGTGGCCTCAGGTCCCCAGAGTGGCCCAGCTGCCACAATCCTACCACAGGGAGCAGCCGGGGGGCAGTCCGGACTGTCCCCACATGCCCCACCATCAATGCGTTGCTAGCAGCAGCAGTGCTGGCTTCTAACAGCCACTGTCCCTGTGATCGTCCCAGGACCAGTCTGGGACCCACCCCCTGGCCTGACCCTCTACCATGTCTGGGTCTCACCTCAGACCTTCCACGGAGCCTCTGAGATGGTCCAGAACTCTGCCGGTTGAACAAGGTCCTTGGACCCATCTCCAAAGGGACAACCTCACGCCAGACATCCAACCACCAGAGCTAACTAACATCACAGGGACAGGTGCGGTGACCAGAGGTCCCGGCCTCGTAGGCAGCAGACCCGGAGCTACTCTGGCCCTTGATGTGTGAGGACTTGGGGTGCGTGTAGCAGAAGCGGCAGAAGGTGGGAGGAGCAGGCAGCAGAATGAGAGAGAAGACAGGAAATAGGGAAGAGGGCCCAGGGAGGGTAGGCGAAAACACTCAGGTGCTCAAGGTGGGTGAGCCCTGCCAGGAGCCGAGGGCACAGAGAAAGAGAGCAAAGAAGCTGCTGTGGCCCAGGCCCAGCTGCGTCTCTCGCTTCTGAGCGCAGCCCAGGCCCCACCGCCCCATCACCGCAAACCCCTAGGCTAGCAGATGGGGGAGACAGGACCCTCAGTGCAAGTGACTTAACCTGGCCCATGACCAGAGTCTCCAGGCCGGCTCCCTGGCCTGGCATGGTTTAATGGACATCTCTTTTGGTGGCAGGTCTACGGGGAAAGGCCAGGTTGCCCACCACATGGTAGACCAGGCCTCTCCCAATGAAAGAAAGACCCAAGGGGCGGGAGGGGAAGTGAGGCGACACCCACCTGAGCCGCCAGCGCTCTCCGAAGCACTCCTGGACATCTTAGGCTGGCCGTGTTTGCCGCTGGCCCGCCCTGCCCCGGGTGGTGAGGGGCCTGAGGGAGCGGGGGTGCCGTCTCCCCGGATGGTGGTGAGGTCCTGCATGCTGAAGCTCCGGAGTCTCTCTGATAAGGCACCCTGTCCCTGTACACAACACAGGAGGGTCATACGTCAGAGGCTGGCCCCACAGATTCATGGGCGGCCGTGGGGGCAGACCCGACAAAGGCACTGAGGGCCCGCTGGTGGCCAGCAAGTCAACCATCAAGACCTGGAACAGCTCCACAGAGGGGCCGGTGCCCAAGTGTACTTGCTGGAACATTCCAGGGCCTGCTCCGCAGCTCAGTCATGGCTGCATTTGCTCCAGGCCCCTTCCTCTACATCAGACGCCCCAGGATGAGCCAGAGCCTCAAGAGCCAGGGCCACTCACACGGCTGTCACCTGCGGTTTCTGCTCTCCAGGGAGCGTGCACTTCTTTCTTGCTTCGCATAAATAAAAACCCATATACGGCTATTGCTTTTCTCTGCTCTGGCCTGAAAATCAAAACCCAGTAGTCTTTGTGTTCAGTCCTTACTCTTTCTAAAGGACATAAAATACAAACAGTATTTTTTTTAATACATGGCAACAGTAATTTCTCGTATCTGCACAGCGCTGTGATTTATAAGGCACGCTGACTTCCCTTGGAGCATTTGAGCTTCATAAAATACCCAAGAGGTAATGAATCAGAAAGGAAAAAAAAAATGATATTAAAAAAAAAAAAAAAAAGCCCTGCTGTAACCATTTCACATTCTGAGGGAGCCACGGAACTAGTCTCGCCATGGAACTAGTCTCGAGGGGACATTGTTCTTTTGTTTAGGAAAGCAAGATAAATCCATTATACTGATGAAAGGGAAGGTCCTCCCTGCGGCTGAGTCTGAGTCTGGCTGAGTCTGAGTCTGTCGGGGTGAAAATGATTACAGGGAAGGCAGGGAGGAGGCCTTGCTGTAGGAGCCCCTGGGGGTTGGAGAGACACTTGCATCTGGGGTAGGTGGAGGCCTGAGGCCTGACAGTGAGACAGAGGCTGGTAAGAGATGGGGGTTATGGAGACTTGAGTTTAGATTTGGAGTGAGAAGTGACAGACAAGTGACTACCAGGCAACTGATAAACCCAGCATCTCCAGAGATAAGGGAGGGTGGGCAGATTCCCTTGGGTCATGGGGCCACAGGCACATGGGACAGCAAGGGAAGGAGAGGGGTTTCATTGGAAAAGGAAGAGAGTGCTCCCAGAAGCCTGGAGGGCTTGGGAACAATGAGGTGACACCGGCATAACAGAAGCGACTAATCACAGAACTGATTAGAGCAGCAACAGAAGCGACTAATCACAGAACTGATTAGAGCAGCGAACAAGAGGACTCCAGGCTGCTGCTGTCGACCACAGAGTAGGGGGTGTTTAGAGGTGAGACAGGCCATTTCACTTCATTTTTGTTTAAGAAAATGGATCAACAAAGCCCAGCAACTCACCGAAGCGAGAGGTCCAGAGACAATAGGGATCTGACAGAACGTGAGTAGTTAGAGGAAATAAACGGGTCTCGCAGACAGGTTTGGAAAAAAAAAAAACACCAGATAAAACAAAAGCACGTTACATACGAAATAGGTGTTTTGTACCTACCAGAGGTATAAAAACCCCGTCTCCAGGAAACTACCCAAGTGGGAATTATGGAAGTGTTGGATAGATACAGGGTGAATCTAGGCACAGGAGAGTTTGAAGGACACCATGGGAGAGAAGACAGCGGTCACCCTGCTGCCTCAGACACTGCTTGGGAAGGGCCTGAGGCCGCGCATTCTGACATCGGTCAGGTGGTTCTGCCAAGAAAATGAGGCCGGGACCAGCCACTTATCTTCTCCAAAGCCAACAGCCAATGGTCCATGACTACTCTACTCAGCAACAATTCTAGATGACATCTAGAATTTAGGAGAAATTTTTTTTTAGAGAGAGATTTTTGCTATAGGGCATGTGCACTCAGCAGAGGGAGAGACAGAGAGACAGAAAGCTAGAAATCACCCCTCGGGGAGGATGGCCACGCTACAGTCTCTTTTCTCTGTCTCCTCTTAGGATTTTGGGCATGCACACACGTGCATCTGGTGTGAGTTTTAAGTTGCCGGAGCCGGGACTCAAACTGTGGTCAACTACATGGGAGTCCAGTGACATAGCCATTACACCATCTGCTGGTCCCAAGAAATTTTATAATAAAGAACAAAAATTGATCCTGAAAAGAGTGAGGAAGTGTTCCAATAATTGAGAAACTCAGTGTTGGACCAACGTAAAGACAAACCACTCACTGACCCACTCTTCCACTCATGCTCCCATCTATCTGTTCCACATCTGTCAATTCCTTTCTACAAGTAAGACCCTGCTAGGTCCAACAGCTTGATTTCTGACAAAGATAAATGTAAAAATAACAACATAGAAGCGCCAAGCCAGAAGCTACCGAAAGTGGGGACCAGCAGAGGGCATACTGGTTACATCAATGGACTCCCACATAGTAAACTGCTGTTCAAGTCCCAGACCCAGTGATTTAAAACTCACGCCAGGTACGTGGTGTGCATGCCCAAAATCCCAAGAGGAGAATGGAGAAGAAGGGATTGCAGCGTGGCCATCCCCACTTGGGGGGGATTTCTTGCTTTCTGTCTCTGTCTCTCTGTCTCTCTGTCTCTCTGGTGAGTGCATGTGCTCTATAGTAAAAACCTCTCTGGAAGGAAGGAAAAGAAAATAGTTCTGTCAGACCTGGATTCAAATTCCAATTCAAACTCCTATCATTTAGAAAGTGGGTGACCTTAACCTCTCTCCACCTCAACACCCCCATCTGCAGGATAGCATCTACCTGGTGGGATGTGGTGAGACTTCAGAGAGATTATGCTCTTAAGCTACCCATCGCAGAGCCCAGCAAGTGCTCAGAAACATCACTCTGGTGCTAACGCCATGGTGCTGCTGCCACTGCCCGAGACACGAGTGGCTGCTGGAATCAGACAAGGAAAAGATCACTTCCTGCCCAAAGAACAAGGAGGGACTTCCTGACCCCTAGCCCCAGTAAATGCTCAGGCACTAGCCCATCAGCATAACCTGCCAGTTCTCGCAACTAGTCAGCACCGTGTCTGAGAGAAGCAGCAGCGAGCATCACATGAGCATGCCCGTTAGCAAGTGCTCGGTTTCACTCCCAGAGCCGGGCTGGCTCCAATATCGCCAGCATCATGAAGACTGGAAGTGGCAGAGGTTGGAAAGAGAAGAAGATAAAAATAGCCCAGTATCAACCTCGTTCTGTGTACCAAGAAATCACAGTGGCTTTAATGCAAGACTCTTTTTTTTTTTCTTTTTTTAAAGAGGATTTTGCTTAGCATGCATATGCTCACTGGAGAGAGAGAGAAACAGACACAGTGAGAGGGAAAGTGAGAAATCACCCCACAGAGGGCATGGCCATGCTGCAATCCCTTCTTCTCCATTCTCCTCCTGAGATCTTGGGCACGCATGCATATGTCTGGTGTGATTTTCAAGCCACCGGGTCCAGGACTCGAACCACAGTTGACCATGTGGTAGTCCAGTGACATAACCACTATGTCTTCTGCCGGTCCCAAGACTTTTGAAAACGAAGTAGCACAGACCCCTCAAAACAACCTGTGATGGTTACAACCCATACATCTCATGCGTAAACCTCTTGGTCCTGCTCAGTCTACGCGAAAGCTCATCCCCTCTCATTTTCCACAATCCCCATTCCACCCCACTACTTAAGCTCTGCTCTGAAGATTCTTTGTTCTGTTATTCTGGATCACTGCCTTCTGGGAATAATCAGGAGTCACTGGTTGGTATTCTGTGAAACTGAGTTCCCTACTTTGGGAGAAACAATTTGGATTCTCTAAGTTTGGAAAAGCTTAATACTACAGTAAAAGTTCCGAGATGTTGTGGAGTGTTTTGCATTAATTCAGTGTATCCTACAGTGTATCCTCAATTGCAGTGGGATACACTGGTTTTTTTGTTTTGTTTTGTTTTGTTTTGTTTTTGTTTTTTTTTTCAGAGAGAGATTTTTGCTATACAGCACATACACTCAATGGAGAGACAGAGACAGAAAGCAAGAAATCACCACCACCACCCCCGGGGGGGGGATGGTCATACCGCAATCCCTTCTACTCTTAGGATTTTTGGGCATGCATGCACACATGCCTTGCTTGAGTTTCAAGCTGCCGGGTCTAGGACTCGAATCATGATCAACTACATGGGAGTCTAGTGATGTAACCATTATGCCATCTGCTGGTCCCACAGGATACACTATTAGCTGACCCTCCAAAAGTTATTTCTAGTCTCATTCTTTTCGTTTTTTTTTTTTTTTTTTTTTTTTTTAGATTTTTGCTATAGGGCACAAGCACTCGCTGGAGAGACAGAGAGAAAGAAAGCAAGAAAATGCTGCAATCCTTTTTCCTCCATTCTCGTCTCAGGATTTGGGGCATGCTCACACACCCGACATGAATTTCAAGCCACCAGGTCCAGGAATTGAACTGCAGTCAGCCACGTGGGAATCCAACGCCTTACCCACAATGCTACGTGCTGGCCCCACCAGCCTCATTCTTCCCGTGGTGAGGAAAAACAGATTTTAAAACTTCCTTTGCAGCTATGCCTGGCCTTACAAGGCAGTTCTGGCTGGAAGGCTGTACGGGAAAATCTGCAAAGGGAACTCAAGACAAAGGTGTTTTCCCTTCCTGACGGGTGGGAGGGAAAGGCCTCACTCTGCTCTCCGCCTTCTGCCTCTGGGTATGGTTTGGATACCGCCTGGAAGTGATACCTAGTGAGGAGGAGACTCAGCCCTCCACCCAGAACCTTGGCATCACAAAGTCACTGGAATACCAACAGTGCCCATCTATTCCGAGACTCTCATAAATGACTTATCAATTCCCACACACATGAACATTTTATTTATTTAATGTATTATTATTAGTTTTTGCTATAGGGCTCTTGCACTTGTAGGGGGGTGGGAGAGAGAGAGAGAAAGTGAGGAAGCAAGCTGTCAGGTTTGGGACTCAAACCACAGTCAGCCATGTTGGAGTCCAGCACCTTAACTACCACGCCACCTGCTGGCCCCTATTTTTTTTTTAAATCTCTGAAATTGGGCAGAACTGACTATT